AAGACCAGCAACAACAATCGTCACCTCACCATCACCATCATCATCAACAACAACAACAACAACCCCCAAAACGATAACAGAAGGAAGCACCTGCGAGATAAGAAAAAAAAACGGGCACTTACGTTATCGGTGGTGGAGAGTCTGCGCAGTTGCTGATTGATATTCTCAAGTTGCGAGTAGAACCACGCACGTTCCTCTTCCTCCGCCTCGATCTCTTGCAAGAGGCGTGATCTGCAAGATGCAAGGCTTCCTCAGACAATGAATATGGAGGACGGAGACAATTAAAGATAAATTGCAAAACGCGCCCAATGGAAAGTAAATATATATATGTGTAAATAAATCTTTAACTTGTATAACATTTTCTTAAAGCGAGAGAGTGAAAGAGAGAGAGAGAGAGAGCGAAGAAGTTCGTTTTTAATTGAGGAAATATACAGCAACCGGAATTGGATACTCTGCATATAAAGAGAGCAATAGATGCACCGGAAAACAGACAGACAGACAGACAGACAGACAGACAGACAGGCCCACAGACAAAGGGAAAAACAAACAGACAGACAGACAGACATAAACATACAAAGAAAGATGCCACGGACATGATGAAACATAAAAAAGACAGTGAGAAACAAACAGGCTAATACACAGAAGAACCGACAAACATACAGACAGATAAGTCTAGAGAAAGACAGAGATATAGTGACAGACTGACGAAAGAGAAACAAGACTTATTACATAAACATCCTGCCCAAAAGACACAGATATACATACATATAAAAAGTAAATAACGGTAGGGCACAAAATAGAGAGTCAGGAGATAGATAAAGGCATACAAAAAAAAACAGATAGACAGACAGACAGTGAAACAACATTAATTAAACTGACCAACAGCAGGACAAGGACAACCACAAGCAGGCAGGAAAATACGAAACAGGTAGAATGGGAATTGCATACGAAGTGATTGGTTCACAAAGAAACATAAAGATAAGAATAATAAACGTAATAACAAACAGACAGACAGACAGGCAGGCATACAGATAGACAGACATACAGACAGACAGACTAACAGAAGAAAAAAGCAAGACGGAAGGCCAGGCAGACGGCCCAGGCACCCAGCCCTAATGAACCCTCCCGCTCTCCTTACCTCTCCTTCCTCAGAGTAAGTATGAGGTTGGCAACGTCTTCCTGGGAATCGAGGTTGACGCTGGACGTGGACAAACCCCCGGGGAGGTTGAACCCGGCGAACACTTGTGACCTGTTGCACCTGGAAGCTGACCTGGTCTGGCGCAGGGGTCGGCGGAGTCCCCTGTGGGCAGAGCGGGAAGTGAGGACAGGACTTGTACGACAGAAGAAAAAAAAAAAAAAGAAAATGACATGCACCTTCATATTGATTGATTATTAAATTTTCTGCAACGTCAGGACTTTCAGGCGTTGGTGCCCGGTCGAACGCGAAGAAACGATAAACATACACGTGCCTCGAGTCGATAACCTTTCTGTTAATCAAACATCCTAACCAATACCCCTGGCTATCAACTCCGTAAACCGTCCTAGATCTTAATACACTAATGCTGTTTTAACTTCACCTACATTTTAAGAATTGCACTCACATCTAGCACTTAAATACCACTTTTCTCACCTAACAACACTCGGGGGATTGTGGTCATTCTAACACTTTCAAGAGCACGAGCTGAAGATGAGTCATCTCCACTCTGCGAGAAAGTCATCCATTCCGCAAAAGGGAAAGGAAATTACAGTAAGAAATGTTCAAGTTTGCCGAAAATCAACAACTGTGACGGCTAATATTTTAACAAGGCTAACAGCACACATCATCAAAAACGGTGAATCAACTCTCTCTACAAAGGCACAAACAGGGCCGGTTATATTAACCACTATAATTACGACGCGGAATCTTTCTGTTTTTGTCATTCTCTGTGACATAAAAAGACAAAAATGATGAAAGTAATAAAAATTATAATAATACTAATAACAACAACAATAATGGTAATGATAATGATAATGATACTACTACTACTACTACTACTACTACTACTACTAATAATAATAATAATAATAATAATAATAGTAATAAAACGAAATAATAATAATAGCAATAATAATAATAATAATAAGAAGAAGAAGAAGAAGAAGATGAAGAAAAAACAGAAGAAGAAGAAGAAGAAGAAAAAAAAAAAAATAAAATAAAATAAAACGAAAAGAAAAAGAAAGGCAAAGAAAAAAAAAGAAAAAAAAATGACATAGAAAAAGAAAAAGAAAAAAGGAGAAAAAAACGATAAAGAAAAGAAAACTAAACGAAAAAAAAGAAAGAAAAGGAAAAAGAAAAGGAAAAGGAAGAGAAAATAGAAAAAGAAAAGATGAAAAAAAATAAAGAAAAGTAACAAAAGAGGAAAAGGAAAAGGAAAAGGAAAATAAAAAGAAACAAGAAAAAAAAGAAAACTAAAGAAAAGTAAAGCAAAAGGGAAAAGAAAGCGAAAAAAAAGAAAAAAAGAAAAAAGAAAAAGAAGCATAAAAAAATCAACTGAATGACCTATTCCGCTTCCTGCTTCCACGACCTATCAATCAAACCACTCACTCACCACACCTGTTCTGATGATGTAAGCCAGCAACTTTACACCTATTATACACCG